TTTTACTAATTTTTACTTTTTTTTTTAAAAACTTAAAACAAAAAAAAAAATGAATTAAGATATTTAAAAAATCTCAGATGTAATTATCATGAAAATTAGCATAAATATTACAAATTCATTAATGTTGTATCGTTGTTGTGATAGATTATTTGAACCGGATATTTGTTCCGAATTGAAAGATGATGATTCCGGAATACAATGTTTCCATTTATAACCAGCTTTTGAATCATATAATGTCAAATTTTGTCGACCCGTAAAATAGTGTCGTATATAAGGTGAATATAAATCGATAATATCATATTGCGCATTAGCAATTTGCGCAACAAACATTTCATCGCCACTAATTAAAAAATCAAAAATGCATGCATCAAAAAATGCATCCGTTACATTAACATGTTTGCATCGTTCTGTAAATTGTAATGTAATTTTTTTATTTATTGAATAAATGAAAATAAAAAAATATAAAAAATAAAAATAAAAAATTTTAAAGCTTGAAAAGTTTTCAAATTTTTTAAATTTTTTAAAGTAATAATTAAAATGCTTTGAAATGGTTTAATTTTAATTAAATTATTATAAAATACACAAAGCATATATTAAATGATTGTAAAATAATGGATAAATTTTGAACGATTAAATAATTATTAAAAGGATACAAAATTTTCGATTAATCTTGCTTAAACTATTTCAAAATATAGCAGCAAATAATATATTTAATTCAAAATGAAACTTTAATTACTTGAATTTTACTATTAAAAATTTTGAATAATTCCATAACTAATTGAAAATAAATTATTATTTATGAAAATTTAACGAAAAAAAATTTTAAATTTTTATTATTTTTTTTATTTTTTGTTTCTTGAAAAATATGAAAATTTTATTATAAATTTACCGACCAATTGCAATTTTTAGTGGTATTTTCATTCGAACTCCATAACATCTGGTGAATGAAAGAGGATTTGCTAATGCTTCTTCAAGTTTTATTGTTTCACTACGACTACAACCGGATGTACAAATATCGAATTCATTATCTGTTTGCTCCTAAAATAAAATAATTTCATTTAATCATTTAAAAAAAAAGATCCTTCTTCATTTGTTATTTAATATTTAAGATAAAATAAAAATTGCAATGAAATTTCCAATAAATAATTATATTAAATTCATATAATCATATACTAAATTAATTTGTATTATTTTATCATTGTGCTATTAAACTATATATATTTTTATATAATTACAATCTTTTTATAACATTGAAAATGAAAAATGAAAATGAAAAAGTATTTATGATTAACTGAGTGAAATAATGGAAAAAAGCAAAAAATGATTAAAGATCAATCAAATTTAAATCGCTTGAAAAAAATAAATAAACAAACTTTCAAATATTTTATTGGGAATGAATAAGATTAAAATATCATGATATAATTTGAAATAATTTGTTTATCCAAAAAAAAATACATATATATAATTTCAAATTTGAAAAGAAGTTTATTGTAACAATAATTTATAATGTAATATGTGAGATGAATTGATAAAAGAATACAAAAATACGATAAGAAATAATGCCAAAAAAATGAAAACGGAAAATGTTTATGATTAATTAAGTAAAAAATAATAGGAAATAAAGAATGATTAAAGATCAATGAAGTCTAAATTATCTTAAAAAAAAAGAGAAACAAATAAATAAACAAACATTGAAATAATTTATTGGAAATGAATAAAATTGAAGTGTTGTAGTGTAACATGGTAATATAATTTTTTTTTTTGGACTAAAAAAAACAAAATACCTGAATAAATCGTTCCGGTATCCTTAAAGCAACCGATAAATATGCACCATGTCGTCGAATAAAAATTGTTGTTGCTATATAACGTACTGTAATTTCAATATGATTTTGACTTAATGATTTAATTTCTACTGCTTTTCGTCCTGAATTACCAACAAATATACTACCATCCGTAAATGTATTCGGTAATTGCTCATCTTCTGATCCTGCTTCATATTGTTTACGTGTTGTGCAACGTTCATTTTTCTTTATGATTACAGTAACCTGGAGAGAAAAAAAACAAAGGTTTAATGATAAATTTGAAATTACACCCTCCATTTAAAATATTTTTTTATTGTTGCTACAGTAACCTCAGGACAAAGAAAAGAAAGACGTGTATCTTAATTTGATTATTTTCATATGAACTTTAATTTAATATAATATCACTAACAGCACATTGTAAACATTGCATTCTTATTATTAATAGCGCAAGTGTCGCATACTGCATAATTTAAGCCGGCGCAAATTGGTGGAAATTGATTTATATTTTTAAAGATTTTACAAACTTTTAGAAACTGATCAATACGTAAATATAGCAATTTTATACAGTATTCTCTATATAGTATTTGCATGCAGTATTTCATTCCACACAGTATTCTTTATATGGTATCTACATACAGTATTCCTTATATAGTATTTAAAAACAAGGAAATATAAAGATATTCTTAACTGTAATGTTTTCAAGTAATGATTACGCTGCAATGATTTTATATAATATTTATAATGTTTATATAATAAATGTGACATTATTATTTTATATAATAAATTTTATTTTATATTTTTTATTGTTTTACATAATAAATTTCATTTCATATTTTTTTATACTTTATATTTGTTTTCTATTTTTTGGCATTTCATATACCAAATTTTATTTTATATTTTTCATATTTTATGCTTGTTTTATATTTTTAATTATTTTCTTCATTATTTTATATGATAAATATGATATCATAAGCATAATTTATTGTATTCAAGTAAAGCAATTCGATAAAACATTTATATAATAACTATTAATATCTAAAATGCAGCAAAATATTTAATTTTAGCATTTTCATATAGTATATTATTTGAACAAAAATCTCATACTGAAATTCAATCATCAAATACAATACTTCTTGTTCAAAAAAAAAAAAAAGTTCCACTATCATTTTCCACTTTAATTATTGATTAAAGGATGACAATTTTTTTTTTTTGAATTTGAATTTGAAACTTTATACCTTCGAAATAGCAGTGGTACCAGACCCAAGGAATGAATGGGTAATTTGTATTAGCAAATGTTTATTGTTTATCAATGGATAAGCACCGGTACGTGCACATGTTACAAAATGTCCATTTAATGTGCGCAAATGTCGTGAACCAAAAAGTCCACAATAACGTTGCATTGTGTGAGGAGCTGTATCAGTTGGGAATGCACATCTGAAAATTATAAATTTTCAGAAAATTTGTGTTTTTTTTTTTTATTGCAAAAAATCAATATAAAGTACGTAAATGTCGTAATCCAATATTTCGATTGCAAAATTTGTTCATTCTGTTAATTTCATTAATTTTTTTTTTTACAATAGCACTTGAATTACTTATTGAAATTTATGAAGATTTGCGAAGTTTTAACTTTAACTTAAATTTTGAGCAAAGTAACTGTTGAAATATAAGATAAATAATCAAATTCATTTAAAATTATCATCAAAATTATGGAACAATAAATTGCAACATTTTTTTAAAATTATCCTAAGCTTGTTTGTTTGTTTGTTTTTGCTTTAATTTTAAATAGAAGTGTGACAATTACCCGATAGGTACATAATTACTAGGTTTCATTGTTTCCGGAAATGAATTACATGAAAATTCACGACGTTGTCGATGAAGTAAAGTTTGCAATGTGTGATATTTGAGATTACCGCGACATGTACGATTCGTTTCACTCAAGCAGTAAATATAATCGGTAATTATCTATAATTAAGCAGGAGGTAAAGAAGGTTAATTGCTAAGTTTAAATAAATCAAAAATATCATTGTCATAAAAGACAGTTTCAAGCTAAAGGTCAAAAAATCATCATTGAATGGATGGAAGGATGAGAGAGAGAGAGAGAGAGAGAGGAAAAGGTCAAAAGGGAGAGAAAAAGGTTATATTCAATGTGAATAAACTTTTCAAAGAATTTAAATTGATTATTTTCTAGTTTATAGTTTTCCCCTAATTTATTGAATTTCTAATTTCTAAATTGCAATTTCTATTCTCCATTTTCATCTTACAAAAAAAA